TTTTTAACAGGATCCAAATGTAAAGCTAAATATTACTCTATCAAATGTAAAAATACATATACTATATGTCATAGAGTATTCGAGGAGTGTCGGATACAAACACACAACACAAATAAGAGTGTATATGCATCATAGACATTAAATAATGTGCATTAATGTTTCTAGTTGCCTGTGGTTGTTGGTATTGAGGATACCCATTCTTATCATGGCAAATTAAAATGTTATTTTTGATTCTTTGCCGTCTTATAAAGAAAGCATAATCACAATAAATAATTTTAGCGTTTGTTTGTATTTCGCGTATCACTTTGACCTGACCATAAGCATGATGTTGCTACATCCATTTTTGGTGAACTTAGGGTAACATTCAAACCTTGAGTGCTGCTGATCTTGACAGATATGATGCAGATGCATGGCTTTTATCTCCTCCTTGCCAACCGTACACTCGCCAAGGTAATGGATTGTTTTTTGTTTCTCTCTTCTTTTTTCTGTTTTCTGTTAATCGGCCATAATTTATTCAATTTTGCTATATACTAAGGTCTACAGAAAGGGTCCAGTGATGCTAGAGCTTTCTCTTTTCTCAAAATTCTTGAACTTATACCGCAAATTTCCCGACCTCCGCTCATTCTATTTGTTGAGAATGTTGTTGGATTTGAGGTTTGTACATATCTTTCTGGAATGGAAGTTATTTTAAATATCTGCATTCCATTTATTAATTATTTATTTGTTATCAACTTTGGAGCTATTCTAAAACTGTTAATCCATCTGTCTTGTTTTATGGTTTGTTGCAGATATCTGATACACATACGAAGATGCTTGAAATATTGAGTGAAAATCATTTTGTTACACAAGAGTTTATTTTGAGCCCGTTGCAGTTCGGTGTGCCATATTCCAGGCCACGTTATTTTTGTTTGGTCTCTCCCCCACCTCGCCCCTCTCACTCTGTGTTTGTGGATCTGTTTTACGCCATTTGCTGTAAACATTGCATGCATTATAGGTTTATGAATTTCTATGCGTATTTATGGAATCACACATGTATCCTCATTTATCTATGAACAAATGTAATTGAAACATTTTGAAAAAAATGTGTTGGTGAAGTATAAAATTTTTAGGTGATGTATAGAATATGTTTTTGGTTCATGCTAGGCATTTGATATCTAATCTTAAATGTAATGACATCTGCTCATGGTCAACCACAGACAAAGTGTTAGAAGAAAGAAAAAAGAGAGAAATTATTTTAATACGATGCATTTGATTATTGATTTGATAGGAAACCATCATGAATTTTTTTTTGCATTATTTTCAACGCAGGCGAAAAGGAAACCTCTGTCTTTTCAGAACCCACAATTTAATAATGAACTTCTTTGGGCTCCAGGCCCTTTTCTTGGGAGTGATGGTTGCATGGTGATTAGTGAAGGAGAACAATCGCATGGATGTTGTGATAAATTGCTTCAAGCTTGTCAACCTAT